TTTCCAAAAGTCACCTTCACTAATGTAACAAAGATAAAACTGTGAGCAAATATAACTTCTGAAAGCACAGAGCCAAAACCAGAATCTTCCCAAGTAGAGATTATGAACAATTATGCAGATCAGGTGATGAAAATAGATAGCCACACTGGCTAATTTAGATCTTTCAGGAGGCTTTTTTTTTTCAAAACAGTCCTCAAGGATTCAAGTTATCTTTTCTTTCTCTTTGTTTTTTGCCTGTGTAATTGGTAACACTAATGAAGGATGAAGAAAAAAAATCTCACAAAGGCAACCAGTATGATAAATGGTATCGAAAATTATTTTTGACATTCTAAATAGATAGGTAACGTAACGTCCTGCTTAGGAGTACAGGCCCTAAAGTCAAACATAGTTGGGTTCAAATCCCGTGTGATCTTGGGCCAGTTAATTAACCTCTGTGCCTTAGTTTCCTTACTAGAAAATGGAGAGACACAATAATATCTTCCTTATAGATTGCTATAAAAACCAAATGTTATATAAGGCATTAACATTGTGCCTGGCACAGGGTGCTTTATATGTTATTTTTAGTAAAAACAACACACTATAATTTGATGTACATTCTTAGGCTAATCTTTTGGAATACACAGAATAGACAAATACACAGATGAAAAGAAAATGGGATGCCTTTAGACTCAAGAGTAAATACATTTCCTTTCAGAGAAAAATATGACCAGAAACAAAAAACTATGCGACAAAGCTCTACCACAAATAACTTAAATCTTCAAGAGAGCAACTTAAGTTTGTTTAGCCTTCCTTAATGTAAGAAATCACTTCTGTCCCAGAGGACTTTCTTGAACAAAAGGTGACATGGAATACATTTTATGCTTTGAAAGGACTTGTCCCTCTAAAATGCTACAGACAGCCACAAAAAGCCCACTACCATTATTATACTTGATAGGTCCCACGCTTTTAAACAGTGTTTGAAATTACCTTTCAAAACAAAATTTATTTTGGTTCTAGCTTTGCCAAAACTAACTGGACTTATGTTATAAAGTAAATGGAATCTTGTTTCCCCAAAATATAAACTAATTTTGTCAATGGCACTAGAAAACAAATGTAAGAACATGTGGATTTTCCATATGTGACTCAATCTTCTAGGTCATGGATCCAATTCCAATGTGTGTGTGGGGGTGTGTTCCCTCACACACAACACTGAACAATTCTTGGGACACCAGCAGGGTGTCTGAGAATTCAACTCAATTCTAACACCAACTACCTGGAGAGAGCCATCAGGTTCCACAGGTTAAGGGCTCAGTCCTACAAGACTGCCCCCCACCCTCCACTTCAGAAGCCAGCTACAAGCTCCAGGTTGTTAATCAGTGCTTTTTTTTTTTTAATTTTATTTGACAGAGAAAGAGAGTGCGTGCACGTGCGCATACAAGTTGGGGGAGGGGCAGAGGGCGAGGCAGAGAATCTCAAGCAGACTCAGCACTGAGTGCAGATCCTGCCACAGGGCTTGACCTGAGCTGAAACCAAGGGTAGGAAGCTCATCTGACTGAGCCACCCAGGTGCCCCAAGTTACCTATGCTTCTGACCCAGAGGCTACAAATCAGAGGCTCCAAAGACTTCCTCCTTAGGTTAATTCCCCAGAGCAGCTCATAGAACTCACGGAAACACTTAATTAAAGGATATGATAAAGAATATGAATCAACAGCCAGGTGAACAGATGCATAGGAGGTATGGGGAAAAGCTGAGAAGCTACCACATGCTCTACAGGTAAGTCACTCTCCCCAATCTCCATGTGTTCAATAGCCCCAAAACTCTCTGAACTCAGTCCTTTTGGGGTTTTATGGAAGCTTAATTATAGTTATGATTGACTGTCATTGGCCATTGACTGATTCAACCTCAAGAGCCCCTTTTCCCTTACCAAAGGCCAAGCCATCCACAGGTTTCCTAATGGTTTTCCAAAAGTCACCTTCACTAATGTAACAAAGACACCTTTAGAGCCCACATCACAGGAAATTCCAAGGGTTTTAGTAGCTATGAGCCAGAAACCATGGCAGAACACCAAATACATATGAGAAATATAAATTTGGTCCTCTAAATGAAATCACAATATTACACTCATCAATTCCAATCCTAGGAAAATACCCAAGAGAAAGTAGTGCATATATTCACTAAAAGATATACCCAAGAATGTTCACGGTGGCATGAATCATGACAGCCCCAAACATTTAAGGAGCAACTTAAGTGTCCATCAACAGGGGAATGGATAAATAGAGATGAAGGAATGAAATGTGGCACAGCAACAAAAAGAACTGATGCACAGAGCAACTTGGATACATCTCACAGACATTATGAATGAAAGAAACCAGACAAAAGGGCACATAGTATGTGATTCTATTTATATGGAGTCCTGTAGCGAAAGAAATCAGAACAGTGGTTCCCTCTGAGGGAGGCAGGTACTTACGTGGAAGGGATACGAATGACTGTAGGGTGCTGGAAATGTTCTCTATCTAACCGTTAGGTGGGTATATACATAACAATTCGTGGAGCATACACTTAAGATTTCTAGACTAAGTACTTTATTACATATGTTCTACCTCAATAAGAAGAGTAAAAAAAGGGGAATACAAGGAGATCTTAAATTGCCTGTATTAAGGTAAGTGCTGCTACCTTACTACAATAAAATAACCACCTTTTCTGTGTCAAGGGGTTATGTTATCTCTTGTTATCTTCCTAGGAACCTTATGAGTTTTATTACTTGGATTTCATAGACAATAAAATGGCTCCTAAAAATGATTTCATTTGATTTCGTAAGCATGTCCCTCCTTAATTTCTATTTTGGCAAATTTAGCCCAGTGTTATGGAAGGAGAATGGGTTCAGAAAATTCTGTTTTATTTAATAGATGATATTGGGTAAATCACTTAATCTGAGTCTTAATTTTCTCATCTATGAAAATGGGGGTCCCAGTGATAATGAGGCTGCCATAAAGCTGAAATGAAATAATTCATGTAGAATATTCTGGATAGACTGCCACAGAATTACTTACTATTTTAAGAATAAAATAACAAAGATACTAACCTTATCTTCTGGCAAAGGTTTGTTTTAGGGTTTAGACAAAATGTGCATTCTCCACACTGTGGGATGTAAAGTGGGATGACAGTATCACCTGGGAGACAAATGCAAAGACATTACCCTGAATAGGGAGCATCTGTTTCTAAATGGATACATCAGCCCCCGCAAACTTCCACACCTGTCAACTCATGTGGCTTTGCAAAGTTAACAACTTCAACTTAGAACTTTACCTATGTAACATCATTCAGACACTGACTATACAAGAAATACAAGTTTTCAAAATTTTGACTGAAACGAAGCTCTTAAAATTCTAACTGGAAAACAAGGTCATGGGCTTCAAAATACTGACTCACTGATGAATCTTTAAAAATTCTTGTTTAACTGGTCAAAACTGGCTTTGGAAATAAATACTTTCAGATGAACAGTAGTCTGCAAAATCCAAAAGGAAAAAACCTCTCAAATATTTGTGCTTCCCAGATAAGGAATAAAATCATTGACAAATGACTCAGGTGATAACTTGTTCACGAAGAAACAATGTATCGCTTAATGGAAATGTAATTTCCTTGCAGAAATAAGTTGAAATTATGAAATTAAGTGGTTCAAATATCCTCCTTACCTGCCTTCAGCTTAGTAACTCCTTCGCCAACACTTTCCACAATTCCAGCACCTTCATGTCCCAGGATCACTGGAAAACTCCCTTCAGGATCAGCCCCATTGAGGGTATAGGCATCAGTGTGGCAAACTGCAGTAGCAATAATCTAGCAATTTAAAGGGCGTGTAAGTGTGTTTGCATGCAATTCAGAGTGAGATATAGGTCAAAGGCAAGGCATTTCTAATACCCTATTTCACTGATTCTAAGATACATTTCTTTGATATTTTAACCTCTTTAAAACCAACACGTGCTTATAATCTGTGGCATCTTAACAATTAGAATTGACAGTTTTTAGTGATCCATAAAAGTGATGGTGTGTTTATATACAAAGGAAATGGTACATCTATCTTCTTTCCAGTGCAGGCTAGCAAGAGCAGGTAAACACGGTGATTTCATGGGCACTGTACCTCCAGGTGTGGAGAGGAACCACTAAAAGCACAGAAAAGAAATCCTGGAGGGGTACCTGGGAGGCTCAGGTCATGACCCCAGGGTCTTGGGATCGAGCCCTGCATCGGGCTCCCTGCTCAGCAGGGAGTCTGCTTCTCCCTCTCTCCCTCTGCCACTCCTGCTTGTGCTCTCTCGCAAATAAATAAAATCTTAAAAAAAACAAAATGAAATCGTGGTGTGTTTATATTTATGCTTCTTTGTGAGAACCCATATACCTGCTATTTGTTAGTAGTTTCCCATACAGCTCATCTTAGTACATCCCAGGACACAGTTTCTTTTTCAGTGGCAAAATCACAATCAGGTTACTTTCTGAACTTAGAGAAAAATGTATTAACTGTGTAAGATTTCAGATTCCTGGGTCCGAGTTGAAAAGGATTTTGAAAAGTTATTTGGCTGTGGGCTCCTCCACTTGTTATTTGATTCCTGGGAGCATAAGTGTTTGGAGGTGGGATGGGGAAAGTATACTCTAATTCACAGCAAAAAAAGCTTATCTTTTCTAGAATGTTAGTTTTATTCAATGGTCACTACTTTAAAGTATTATCTTTACATCAAAACAACAGAGTAGAATGCTAAAAATATCCAGGTGGCTGCCTTGTGCAATATCCCTCTCTCCACAGGTAACTAACTTCCTTCCTTTGCCACAGTAGAGGTTGAGCAGGACTAGACTGATGGCTCCCCTGAACCAAGGCCTTGCCTGCAAGTTTCAGTACATTTTAAAGCTCTCTAAGCAAGTGGAGTTCACTTGCTTGTTGCTCCAAATCAGGAGCCTCTTCCCAAATCTTATTTGAAACTGCCTCTAATGAGACTGAAGAGCAATTCTACTTTTGTTTCTAATGTGTCATCATTCGTTTTAAGTCATGGGATCAGGAGAAAGGAGAGCATCTTACAAATTCATCTTAAACACAGGCTATGGAAGATAAATTGCAATAATCCAGTGATCCATGGGGAAAGCTGCTGAGCTCCACATCAAAGCTAAAAAGACGGAGAGGAGTGCTGCAAAAGTGAAGGGGGTAAAATAAGAGAAGGATGTTGTGATTCTAAGGTTGGATGAGTTTCAATACCTTCTCCTTGACACTGGCCTTTGGGGTTTATCCTCAGAGGATTCATCTACCCAGAGACCTAATTGTAAGTCTTCTCTTCCAGTGCCTTAGATGTGTCATTACCTTAATTCGAACCTCATGAGCCTTTGGGGGTGCCACCTCCACCTCCTCTATACAGAGAGGCTTCCCTGCCTCCCAGGCAACTGCAGCCTTGCACTTGATAACCTGAAATGGGGACAAAAGAGAGCAAGTTGTTTATCCTCCTGCACTAATAATGAACTCCTTATTAGATTCTGACGAATGCTAATCTTAGAAAGTAGATCACACAATCACAAAAAACTCTACACCCCGAAGTGATATGGAGAACTGTTTTGCATGTTTTTAGAGTTCATATAATGTTTACTAAAAAAATTTAACTGAGATGACCACATGGTCAGATATAAAAGCCTCTTTTGGTTAAGAAGTTTTATTAATCAAGTATTTAATGGCCTTCTACAATGCATAAGCAGGAGCATATCAAGAATACAGATTCCAGGGACGCCTGGGTGGCTCAGTCGTTAAGCGTCTGCCTTCGGCTCAGGTCATGATCCCAGGGTCCTGGGATCAAGCCCTGCATCGGGCTCCCTGCCCAGCAGGGAGCCTGCTTCTCCCTCTCCTACTCCCCCTGCTTGTGTTCCCTCTCTCGCTGTGTCTCTCTCTGTCAAATAAATAAAATCTTAAAAAAAAAATACAGATTCCAGGGGCATCTGGGTGGTTCAGGGGGTTAAGTGTCTGCCTGCGGCATGGGTTATCATCTCAGGGTCCTGGGACTGAGTCCCATGTTGGGCTCCCTGCTCAGCAGGGAGTCTGCTTGTCCCTCTCCCTTTGCCCCTCATCCCCGCTCACGCTCTCTCCCCCTCGCTCTGCTAATAAATAAATAAAATCTTAAAAAAAAAAAAATACAGGTTCCAAGACAATCGGATTCAGTAAGGTCTGGCATAGGATCCAAGGAATCTGAATGCTTAACATATACCCTAGAGTATTTCTAAATTAGGCACAGTAAGATTAACAATAATAAAATAGAACAATTATAAGTTATGTGAATATGGTCTCTCAAAATATCTTATTGTACTGCATGCAGTCATCTTTCTTGTGATGATGTGAGATGATGACGTGGAGTGAGTGACATAGGCATTGTAATGTAGCGTTAGGCTACTACTGACTTTCTGATAATGGGTCAGAAGGACAATCACCTGCTTCTGGACTGTAGTTGACCTTAGGTAACTGAAACAGCAGATAAGGTGGGGGGGAGGGGATTACTGTATAATGGATTAAATTTTTATCCAATTTCAATGTGGCAACTAGAAAAATAAAAATTACATATGGGACTTGTATTATATTTCTATAGCATAGCACTGCCTTAGAAATTCTAGTCAGTACACTCCTCCTTTACCAGAGAATCAGGTGTAATGAGAAGAGGTAAAAAATTTTTTTTAATTGAAACATAGTTAACACTGAATATTATATTAGCTTCAGGTGTAAACCATGGTGATTTGATGTTTATATACATAAGGAAATGATCACCACGGGTAGGTCTAGTTATCATCTGTCACCATACAAAGTTATTATAATATTTTATTGACTTTATTCCCAATGCTGTACATTTCCATGACTTCTTTATTTTATAAGTGGAAGTTTGAACCTCTTTATCTCCTTCACCTATTTTACCCCCCCCGCCCCCACAGGGAAGTTTTGATTAGTTCACATAATGCTTATAAATTGTGTTGACAGAATAAAGGTTGCAAACTGCTGGGTTTATAGGAGACAAACTTGAAAGTCAACAATTCCAATAACTAAGTTAAAGGGAGAGGCATAAAGTGCTCCTGCACTAAGTGGAGAAAGAGAGTTAAATTTGATTGGTGGGTTTGAAAAAACTTCACTTTTAACTAGGATACCAAAGGATGAGAAAGAGTTACAAATAGTGATAAAACACCTACAATTACAAAAAGCTATTGTGAGAAGTAAATGAAAATGAACATAAAGTCCCTAATACAGTCCTTGGCATTGTGTAGCTTTGCAAAAACAAATCAATATTTATTAGCAGAACAGAGTGGAGGAAAAGGAGAGTTGAATTATATACAGATGAATGGCTTGTGTAAACTGGTGAGGCTGGAAATTACTGCTTTTAAAATTAAAGTGTAAATATTAAATCTGATGGTGAAAAAATTCAAACACTGCATTAGAATCTGTTTTCAATGCAATGTACCATAAATCTCAAAACAAAGTCCCAAAGGTCAAATTCAGAATAGTCATGGATCCTAGAGAACTTAAGCAACATGAGTAAATAATTCTTCTATAATCTAAGCTTTTATGCCCCTTCCCCTCATTTCAGGAATGTTTGAAAGATTAACCTTTTCTTTCAATGACAATTCTAAGCAAAACAAAGCTCTGCCCTAGATCCACAGGCAAAGGTCCTACCTCAACATTTGAACTATCACAGGATTATAATTTTTCACCTTCTCCGAATAAAGGCACTTGGTAATAAGGAAAACTCGCCAATTTGTTAGGTCTAAAAGATCATCTAGAGTTCACCATTTCTTCTCAACCTCAACATTTAAGGTCCTAAATCCTTCTAGAAAATTTCTAAAGTTTGCAAAACATTAAAACACTAAATAACTTTAAACTGATTATTCATATATTTCTGCCTTTCTTTATTGTCTAATGTATATTTCAGGAACCTGGAATAGTTCCTTGCACAGGGACAGACCTGGACCGGAATCCTGGCTATCTTAAAAGTGACCACTAAGCACGCCAAACCTCTAAGCCTCAATTTTTGGTCTGTAAAATGGAGACAATACCTCATAGAAGTGTCACGGGAAGATTAAAAGGATATAAACTTCCGGTGCCTTAAATGCTCAGAAATGTTACTACTGAAAGGGACCTACGGGTCTTCCCAAATACATTCTTTGGTGTCCCCATAATTGTTCAATTATGAATTACAACCATGAAACACAGCAACCTTAAGCGTTAGGAGCGCGGGTTCTGTTACCTGCAAGAATGACCCCAGGCAAGTTATTTTAGCATACGCAAAGCACTAAGCGCTCCTAAACCACTTCTAGCAGGAAACCGACCCCCCCGCCCCCACTCTCCGGTTCTCCCCACCCCCACCTCGCTCCGCTGCCCCAGAAGCAGCAAAACCTTTTCAAGTAAAGAGCCGAAACAAAGATTCTTTTCCTTCCTTCCCGCAGAGCAGCTCGCCCAAGATACCGTTTCGGATCCGGCAGCTCATGCCTGTCTACGGGCCGAGCCCCGCGAGCCCCACGAGCCCCGCGCGCCCCGCGCAGTTCCATCCTACGCTTTCCCTCTGTTCCCTCCTTCCTTGGAGTAGGTCGCCCAGCACCGCCAGGCCTACCTGCACAGCCATGGCCTCCGACTCGGTCAGCGAAGGGCGAACATCCGGGGTGGGACCCACCGTACTGGGCATGGGGGCGGGGAGTGCGCCTGGCGCAGGGGGCGTGGCATGGGCGGGGAGTGCTCCTGGCGCGGTCCCGCCTCCGCCTGCTCGGGGGCGAAGCGTGAACGCGGGGTTTGCTGGGCGGGCTTTGGGCGCGAAGGGCGGGGCCTGAGCTTGGCGCGGCCGGCGCTCTAGCGCGCGACCAGGTGGTTTCGGCTCTGAAGTCAGAGGGGTTTCGGCGAGGCTCTCAGGCTAGATGTGAAACGTCTGTGTCCAGAAGGGGTTTTCCCCTGTTAACTCTAACCCAAGCAGCGTAGATAAGGCTTACGAAGGAGAGCTATGGAAGGTGAGGAACCAGGAATTTAACTGGAAGCACGTGAGAAACAGGACTGCACAATTTTGTGCTCTTTCTACAGACTTCGTGTGCGCTGCGTCTTGAGATCACAACACGAGTAAGATCTAGCCCTTCAAATGACTGCAATGAGGGGGAAACTGAGCTGTGAGAAGAGTGGTAAAGGGGACACAAGGAGGTACCCATTCGGGAAACTTCCCCGGCTCTATTCCCGCTGTTCTTGAAGGGTGAGTAGGAGTTTTGGCGTTGGGTAGAACACGGGGAGAGAACTTTGCGAGGAGGGGCACGAGTGAGTGCCAAGCCTCCAGAACGTGGACGTGTTTTGATGTGCTGTGGTTTAGGAGTGGCCATTGTGGAGAAAGAAGGATGATGGAGTATTTGCCAGTTTACTCTTAAACTCTGTTGTTAACGCTGAATTTTATTAAAAAAGCTCTACCAGACCACTCTCTTCCTCTCCTTCACGGTCTTTTTCATGGCTCTTTTTGCTCAGTATGTATCTTAAGTGCCGATGATCTAAAAAAATTCTGTCCAACGACTTTCCCTTCATTCCACTCTCTCATTTATTTTTTATTATATATGTATTTAAAGATTTTTATTTATTTGAGAGAGAAAGAGTGAGAGAGAGAGAGATTACGAGCAGGGGGGAAGGGTCAGGGAGAAGCAGACTCCCTGCTGAGTAGGGAGCCTGAAATGGGACTCAGTTGCAGGAATGTGCGATCATGACCTGATTGGAAGGCAGACGCTTAACCGACTGAGCCACCCAGGCACCCTCCACTCCCTCATTTACACCAAGGCTTTTAACTTCTTTTTATATAGGGACAGCTTCTAGATTATGACTAAGGATGGCTGTGGTGAACTCTAGGCTTGGGCATACAACTGACTACGAGACATCTATGTGTCTCCATTAGGGTATCTCGCAGTTATCTCAAAGTCAACTTATTCAAAACTCGTAATCTTTTTTCCTTAATCTTCCTTCTGTCTGTGTGGGGCACCACCATCTATCTATCTATCTAACTATCTTTCTTTCTTGACTTTATTTATTTATTTTTGGAAGACAGAAGAAGAGAGAAAGAAAGAGCACAACCTGGGGGAGGGGCAGAGGGAGAAGCAGACTCCCTGCGTCTGACTGGATCCCAGGACCCTGGGATCATGACCTGAGCCAAAGACACACATTCAACTGACTATGCCACCCAGGCACCCCCACCTTCTTGCCCCAAGTCAGAAACCTGGAAGTCGCAACTTCTCCCTAACCCTCAGCGCCTGCATTCAATCTGTCACCAAACCCTAAATACCTCTCATCTCTTGTGCCTCTTCTCTACCCCGATCCATCCCTCTTCCCCTTTCCTCCCCCTTCCCCCGCCACTGCTGCTGCCTTAGTTTGGGCTGTCATCATGTCTTACAGAGTTTCTGAAAAAGCCTCCCATCTGATGTCTTTGCCAGGTCCCTGAATCTAATGCACTTCTAACTAATGCCCCCTTAGTGAACTTTCTGAAACATAAATCAATTAATGCCATTTTCTTTCACCTTTAATAGTTTTTGAATAAGTGGATTAGAAGGAAATAAATGTCATTCTACTATTTAAAAGTCTTCAAAGGCTGAGAAAGGTATAAAATCCAAACTCTAGCTGGGCCAGTCAGGTTCTGCATAACATGATTCCTCCTTATCTCTACATCCTTATTTTCTGCTATTCCACCACACAAGTCTCATTCCAATCTTATGGAACATTTGCATTTTCTTAAAGAACTGTTCTCTTTCTTGATTCCAGGCCTTTGTATATAATAGAACTTTTGCTTGGAATGCAGTAAGCAATTTTCTAGTGAAAGAAAGCTTTTAGCAAAGAGTTAATGTTCTTCCCTATTGTAGATATATTGTTTATCTTCTGGGGAGAAGCATTTACATTTTTGTGATACCTTCCTAGTTTGCTAGTTTTCGGTCTCATATGTAAGGAGATTGATTGAAAGTTGTCAGTCCATCCTAACAACAAGTAAAAAGCTGAACAAACTGAGAAATCAAAAACTCTTCTTAGATCTGTCAGAGAATTGAGATCATGGGGTAAACCAATGACCCTAGAATTGGAGAGTTAAACAAATAATAGAGAATCACAACTTATTGGAGCAAAAACCCACTTCTGGGGAAACCAGTATTGGTATTGGAAAATGTGAAGTGTAATTGATGAGTTGCTGGAGGCTTAGTGTGGTTAAGTCTTAGAGTTAACTCCAGAGAGATCTAGTCATGGGGGAGGGGAGGGGGGTCCTCACACTTTTGTGACTTCAGGGGGTATGTGGGGCTTGGCTTGTAAATGGGCTGTCAGAATTGGAATAGGGTCTTGGGCAAGCTGCTCAGTGGGAAGGAAGTGAAGGAAGTTTTGTTTTGGCTCCTTACTTGAACCTGATGGAAATGAAAAGACAACAAAATTTGTGGCATGTAGTGAAAGCGGTGCTTATAGGAAAATTTATAGCTTTGGATGTATATATTGGAAAAGAAGAAAGATAAAAATTAATTTCCTCACCTCTATTAGGAAAGTAGTAAAAGAAGAACATATTAAGTCCAAAGTAAGCAGAAGAAAAGAAATAATAAAATTTAGAGTAGAAATCAATGAAATTGGGAACTGAAATCAGTTGAGAAACTCAGCAAAACCAAGAGCAGGGTCTTTGAATAGATTAATGAAATTGATAAGCCTCTAGCCAGGCTAATTATGAAAAAAAGAGAGGAGCACAAATTACATCAGAAATGAAAAAGGATCATCACTACAGATATCATGGACATCCAGAGGATAATAAAGTAATACTGTGAACAACTGTATGCACACAAAATTGATAACCTAGATCAAATGGACAATTCTTTGAAAGACACAATCTGTTTAAAACTCACACAAGAATAAATAGGTTATTTGAATAGGCTTATATCTATTAAAGAAATTGAATTGGTAATTAATAACATTTCAAAACAGAGAGCACCAAGCTCAGATGGGTTCACTGGTGAGTTCTACCAACTATTTAAGGGAAAAATTATGCAATTATCTACAATCTTTTTCAGAAGATAGAAGCAGAGGAAGATAGATATTTACTAATTAATTCTGTGAGGCCAGCATTACCCTAATACCAAATTTAGACAAAGTCATTACAAGAAAAGAAAACTACAGACCAATATCTCATAAACCTAGTGCAAAAATTCTCAACAAAATATTATCAGATTGGATCCAACAACTTATAAGAAGAGATATGGCATGACCAAGTGGGATTTATTTGAGGTATGCAAAGCTGGTTCAACATTGGAAAATCAATTAACATAATCTGTCATATCAACAGGCTAAAGAAGAAAAATCACGGTCCTATCAATAAATGCAGAAAAAAGCATCTGATAAAATCCAACACCTACTCATGATAAAAAAAAACTCAGGAAACTAGGAATAGAAGAGAACTTCCTCAGCTTGGTAAAGAACATCTACAACACAGCTACAAGTAACAATGTAATTAATGAAGAGAAACCAAAAGTTATCTTGCTAAGATCAGGCACAAGGCAAGGACGTCCTCTCTCACCACTCCTTTTCAGTATCACACTGAAGTACTAGCTAATGCAGTAAGACAAGAAAATAAAATAAAATGTATAGTGATTGACAAGGAAGAAATAAAACTATCTTGTTCACAATTGACATAATTGCCTATGTAGAAAATATGAAAGAATCCACATTAAGCTCCTAGAACTGATAAGTGATTATAGCAAGTTTGTAGGGTACAAAGTAATATGCAAGAGTTAATTACTTTCCTACATACCAGCGATGAACAAATGGAATTTGAAATTAGAAACACAATACCATTTATATTTGCTTGTGAGAAAATGAAATACTTAGGTACAAGCCTAACAAAATATGGACACAATCAATATGGGGAAAACTGCAAAACTCTGTTGAAAGTGATCAAATAAGAACTAAATAAATGAGATATCCCACATTCATGGAAAGAAAGACTTGATATTGTCAATATGTCCATTCTTTCCTACTTGATCTATAGATTCAACACAATCCCAGTCAAAATTCCAGCAAATTATTTTGTAGATATCAACAGACTGACTTTAAAATTTATATGGAGAGGCAAAAAAGCCAGAATAAGTCAACGTAGTATTGAAGGAGAAGAGCAAAGTTGGAGGACTGACACTATCCAACTTCAACACTTACTATAAAGCTATAATAATTGAGACAGTGGGGTATCAGCAAAAAATAGACAAATAGATCAAGAGAACAGAATAGAGTCCACAAATAGATGCGCGTGAATATAGTGAATGATCTTTGACAATATAGCAAAGAAAATATATACAATACAGAAAACAGTCTTTTAAAAAATGGTGCCAGAACAACTAGATATACCCTGCAAAAAAATGAATCTAGATACAGACCTTCATCCCTCATGGAAATTAACTCAAAATAGACCATAGACCTGAAAGTAAATGCAAAACTATAAAACTCTTAGAAGATAACATAGGAGAAAATCTAGATCACCTTAGGTATGGCAATGATTTTTAAATATAATACCAAAGGTATGATCCATAAAAGGAATAATTGATAAGCTGGACTTCATTGAAATAAACACGCTCCAGAAGTGTCAAGAGAATGGGAAAAGCCACAGACTGGGAGAAAATATTTGCAAGGCATGTTTGATAAAGGATG